CCCCAATGTGCATACCAGGCTTGTCAAGTTCAAAATACCTCAATGAACTGTACATTGTGATTCCTGCACCGAGGAGAGGGGCGCCGGAATCTAGAGGCAAGTCGTCAGGCCAACGAAGTACAAAGTGCTCATCGGCGACCATGTGATCGGAGAAACCCCCATGGATTATGATTCCATCAACGTAGGGGGGACTGTCTGTGAGCATTTGTTGGGGACAATAATTTTCAAGGTTGTTAGCACAGCTCTCGCATTTTCGACATGATCCCACCAGGCATCCCACGCCCACTTTGTCTCCAACATTAAACTTTTGTACGTTCTTGCCCACTTCAGTCACTACACCCACAATCTCATGCCTGCATTGATCATTTCAATTTAGATACTTGAGATATACCTCAAAAGCAAAACTATTGGTCCCCAACTAGAATTAAATCACCAAAACTATTTTTAACTTCGATAAAGTGATCAACTGGGTCTAGTCTAGTTGGTGGCTTGATTCTCTTGAGAAGAAAAACTAAGGGTCAAGGAGTAAACTTTATCAAAGTCAATGATTGAATTCTCTCAATGTCCCCCTCTTCGATGTTCGATTGAGCCCCCTTTGGGGCTTCTATTTCACCCGCTCAATGGATTTTCTCCTTTGTTATAGGTGTGTGGTTAAAAAATTATGATGGATGCCAATAGTAACCTATCTATGTGTATGAAGAAAAAAAAATCAGTAAATGTACATATTAAACGGGAGACCGACCAAACAATAGATTATACATACCCTGGAACAGTTGGATACAATGCAACACCCCAATAATTCTTGTTCATCATAAGGTCTGAGCGACAGATCCCGCAATACAACACCTTCAATCTCACGTCCTGATCACCAGTAGCCCTACATAGTCATACCACACACATGAGCACCACCATCATCGTATCAATAAACATGGTCACTCAACCTAACTATATAACAAAAATATTTTAAAGTAACTCGAGGAAAGTATGTCATGTCACAAGGATGAAAGACTTTCGTCTCGTTAATTTATAATGAACCAGATATTTTCTTCCATTAAGGGAGAAACCCAAACCAAACCTTCTTGAAAACTTGAATGGAGAGAGAACACCAGATGGGTCTCTACAAGCCCATCCAAAAGCCTCCACCTCTTGTGATTTTGACATGAGTAAAGAGAAAATAAGAATCTTGAGTGATTTTCAGCTATGTGGCGACTTGTTTCTTTAGTGTGTGGGGAATTGTGGCTTGGGCTTTGTGAGGCTGCATTGTTCCTATATATATGTGTGTGTGTGTGTGTGTGTGTGTGAGTGTGAGTGAGAGAGTGGGAAAGAGAGGAAGAAAATGGTTTAATATATGCCATGCGCGGTGCATGTTCAATGTAATGACAAAGTGGGGTCACAGGAGGCATTAGGTTTGTGGAAAAATTTCATAGCAGAATCAATATTTTTTTTTTTATTGAGGGTTCATCTTTGAGCAAACTGTCTAATGGCATGGACAAATTAGATGAATATATAGAAATCCTATAAAACCCCTCGTGAGGCGCGAGGAGACATCAGATAAGATCGACTTCTTTTTGCCTTATTTGTTGTTTAGCATTCAGATTTGGGGATCAATTTTGTAGGTTTTAACATGGTTGGTCCCTTTTCCATTGTTATCGTGGTCAGTCGGGTGCAATGCATGTGATTGATATTTTGATCTCGTTTTAACTTCCCTACTCATCTTAATATTTGAGGAAAGTTAAAAGAAGATAGATAATGAGAATTAAAGATAGTATAGGTTAGATAGTGAAAACTTGAAAGTTAGAGATAGTATGAGAAGTTAGATAAATAGATAGATAGTGAAGAATTATAAATAGTGTGGTAAATTAGATACGTAATTACTGAGAAGTGTAAGATTTTGATTAGAAAAAATCTTATTTTTAGTTTAATAATATTAAAGTTCTATAAATAAAGATGACATTGGGGAAATGCCTCTAAAAGCCCCTCTCAAGTAATCTGTTTGCGATAATGATAGAGATGATTACGACTTATATGTGTGTATGTGTTTTTAAGGCAAGATGGTGATTGGGAAAGTAACCAAATACTACTGCCAGGGCTACATGGAACATTTGCAATACTAAATATGAAAATTTGTAAAACTGAATAATTCAAGATGTGATAGAAAAGCCGACAAAAATATATGAAGATAAGATTCAAACTTTTAACTCTATTATTGTTGTCACGTGTTTATGCTAAGGATAATTGAAGAGGATAAATAAGATAAGTGGATGTAATAGAAGGAACTCGAGCAATCTATTAACAAAGGGTCAACCAGTTGGACAGAGTGTAGGTAGAGTGAAAATGCTTTCACTAGCCACATAAAAATCTCATTCTTCGCAATAGGTAAGTAATGTGTGTATTTATAGCACAGTGTCCATGTAGGTCAGGCTGCCGGAAGGGTTACCCTCTACGACCACCTAACACTCGGGCCAACCCACAACTGTTTCGACTACGGCGATATCAGTGGCCGTTAACCGTGTGCCACGTGTCCCAACATTAACTAGATTGGTTTGACAACAGAGGTGAAAGGGGGCTCCCAAGATTAAAGTTCGTGACTGGTCACAACAGGTCCATGACCTCGAGAGGGCCATGTATACGATGCCCTCAGTGCGCTCCTACCCGGGATCTTCTCTTCTTTCTCTGAACCTTTTCTTGAGATGTTTGTCGAGGTGCTCAATAGAGGAAATCCTCATAATTTTGGTCCTTCAACCACCAATCCACATGTTTCATTTATCCCATATGTTGATTCAGATCAATAACTTCAGTTACTATAGGAGTCCTTCTGAATCCTAGTTAAGCACATCTTAGTAGGCAGTGAGCCATACACTGGGATGCTTGCTAGAGCAGACTATACTATCGAGACTCTACCTTAGGTCGAGGTAAACAATCATGCTCGCCCATCCCCGTTACTCAATTCTCATTGAAGAGGGCTATACTACCATGTCCCTAGGTGGAGACCCCTCCTTTTTAGTCCATTGGGCTAGTCGAGCAATGATGTCTAGTAGGTTGAGGATATCACTTCCACAGTGGGGGAGATGAGTCTCGCGGAGGTTACCCCTAAACTTCTGTGGTTCCACTTTTGTTCACCATTGGTGAAGGGTCTATTTATCACTCTCAATACGATGGGGATATGTTTCACTCTGTTGCGATGTTGCACCTAAGGACGTCATGCCTGAGGCATCGCACCTTGGGTGTTGCACCTAGGGGCGTCACACTTGGCACTGTTATCCATACCATCTAGCTGGACTTTGTTGGGCCCTACTTCTATGTCAACTAGTAACTCATGCCATTTTTCCTTGTATAATTTGAACATGTGTTCTGCAATTATCGGGTACTACACTTAGCAAGTACAAGGAGTCCGACTAAGGCTCTGTTACAAAATGTCTCCAAACCTTCTGGTTTGCTGCAAATCCTAGCATGTATATTTAAACATTCAATGGTACAAGTAGTTATAGCCCTCTCTAGCATAATGCGAAGATACCCTTTTCTTGCTTCCTTTTTTCGGCCCGGTCGGTCATCGGTGAGTCACCTTGACCTCTTGAACAGTTTTCAACCATAGAAATCTAAATAATATATGCCAATCTAAATATGCTACTAGTTACAATGAGAAAAAAAAATTGTTTACGTTCTTCAGAATTTGCTTTAACGAAAAAAATTTGCAACAATCAAGAACACCATTTAATGACAAATCATAATAATTAGATAGTGTTTACATCGAAAAATAACAAAATTTGAGGGTGACACGTGGAGACAATCCTACAGTTATGAAAAGGTCTGTGGGAGTCCATACTTAACATGGCGGTTAAGGAAGTGGGAATCTAAGAATTCCGATAAATGGAAAAATGTGACATCATGAGCCGTCAGTTAGAGACTGGTTCAGTCCATGTTTGCACATCTCGAGGAATAAAGGCCATGATTACAGTCATGGCTAAAAAAGATGATTTCGACGGTTGAAGACTGTCCCTATAAATAATAAGGGCAAGGCTACAAAGAATAGATCCACCATCAAACTCAACAAACTTTACATAGAGTCAGCCTGTCTCCTACTTTCTTATTTTTTCTTAATAACTTTACTTTTTGTTGTAATTAGTCGCTACAATGATCTTTACTGCTTTCATTTAATGTTAAGTATAGTACTCTTTACATTTTCCAAGTTTAGTTTACCAACTATTTTTATACATTGCAACTTTATTTCTACGTTCTAGTCTGTTTGTTGCTGGTTGTGAAATTATTTAAAGTTCTTAATCCTGAAGGCATAGAAAAAAACTCAAAGATTACTTTACGTCTTGTTACAATCACCTGAACAGTCATAATTTTAGAATCTCACACCGGTTCGAATAGATAAAGTCGCACATATTTGAATTTTAAATTCAATTAAACTTTGACACGCTCGTAATTCAAAAATATGCCAAACAGAAAGTATGAGAGCATGGAAAGCACCAAAATCTAATCAGGCAAACAAGCATAAGGTAGTCATAATTAATTAAGGGGAAAATACCTAGGAATGCATTCCCACTAGTACGACACCCCCTTTTAATTTTGTCTGGATACTCTTAAAGTTATCAATTTTGTCCGATTACTTAATCCTCTTGGTGTTATAATTGCCATGGTCACTTAATTGACTATTTTTTAAATTGAACAAACACAGAGAGAATGTGGCGAAAGATAACATGATCACTTAGAGTGCTCTAATCGAATAGTGGTGAAAGAGAATGTGTAACGGTTGTTTGATTGATCTGAAATTTAGACCAAACATTTGAAAAATATACATGCAAAACTGAGTTCCATCCTGTACACTGTTCAAAGATCAAACCGTTGTCCAAGCCACTTTTTTCGGAAGGTAAAGTGTGTTAAAAAAGATGTACAAGGGTAATCACCCTCAGATTGTCCAAAGAAGTCACGTACGACTCAAAGACAGGCAACAAAAAACCAAAAAGTTCCAAAGAAGCCACTTGCAGTGGTAAAAATCAGCACAGACTATGCCATTTGCAAACAAAACCAGCAGCCCAAACTGGACCCAGCAGCCCAAGCTCGTCCAGCGAACAAAAACCAACAGCAAACGGCATGAAGCAGATAGTCCCAAGCACAACAGCTGCAACAAGCATCAAGCAGACAAGCCCAAGCTCGTGAAGCATAACAAAAACAGAGATCCTTCAATAAGCAGCACAACCCAGCAGCAACAAGCATCAAGCAGACAGCCCAGGCTCATGAAGCAGAACAAAAACAAAGAACCTTCAACAAGTAGACAGGCCCAAGCACAACCCAGTAGCACAAAAAACAGAGCAACACAGCAGCAACCAGACACATAATTCAAACCAAAACACGCAATGAAACAAAAATCCTTCTTAAGTAAGGAATTATGAGAGAAGTATAGGCCTTAAGTCAGTACTTCCCCAAGAATCCCAAATCGAGAAAGATAGGGGAAAGACATGTAAGTGTCAAAACATTGACACAACAAGCTTCAAATTCAGAACTAATGGAGGCATGTGTTAGGCAGGTTCCATTGTAACAGTGTAGAGGCATTAAGATGGCTGCACTTGAACTTCAAAGTAATGAGTCTCTCTCTAATAGATTGCTTAACCATCTTGATGAGAGTATGAGAGTCAGCAGCTTGGTTTCTAAAGATTCTTGTGTTTCTTTCCTTCCAAAGATGATACACAGTAGTAGAGAGACTTATCTTCAAGATAATAGTGGTCATCTTCTTGCCATTCCACTGCTGAGCAGCCCATTCAATAAAATCAGGCCATTGTCTTTGCTGTCCATGTTGATTGCACTGGAGAAGGATGGAATTCCAAACTCTAGAGGAGTAATCACATTCAAAGAAGAGGTGGCTATGAGTTTCATTTGCCTTTCTACACAAGACGCATTGAGTGTCAACCTCATTTGAGAAAGCTTGAATTCTATCTTTAGTACTCAATCTCATTTTAATGGCTAACCAAAGGATAAAGGCTATTCGAGGTATTGACTGGCCAAACCATACTAAATTATGCCAAGAGACCATACTAGTTGCATTCCTCAAGTGCTCCCAAGCAGATTTGGCAGAGTAATTCCCATCAGTAGTAAGGGTCCATCTCAAAAAATCATTTCTGGTATGATCAGGAAGGTAAGTTGGCATGTTGTTAAAAATATCCTGTACACACAGATGAGTGGAAGCAGTTCTGTTCCATTGGTGGTTGGCAATAACACTATTGACTCTTTCTTCCCTTGGAATTCTTGCTTGTTGCACTATATTAGAGCTGCTTCTTGGTAACAGGGGACCATAAGGATGCCAGTTGTCATGCCAGAAGCTTGTGAACTGCCCATTCTGTACAATGTGCACCATTATAGGTCTTAGGATTTTCCTGAGTTTTAAAAAGTTCCTCCAGGTATGTGAGCAGGTTTGGGGAGTTTTGAGCTCCCATAAGTTTCGATCCCTTATATAGTAAGCATGTATCCATTGGGTCCATAAGTTTTCCTTGTCATTAAAACATTGCCACAGATGTCTCAGGAGCAAGGCATTGTTCCATTCCTTCAACCCTTTTATACCCAGGCCACCCTCTCTTTTTGGCTTGCAAACATCATTCCATGCAACTTTAGCTCTAGTATATTTGAGCTCAGTGCCCTTCCAAATGAAAGCCCTCAACGTTTGCTCAAGCTTGTCCAACACTTTCTGTGGTAAGCTCAAGTGGGTAGCCAGAAGAACATGCATGCTACTAAGCACTGAAGTTACCAGCTGAAGCCTTCCTGTGTAGGATAGGAACTTATTGGTCCAAGACTTAACCTTGTTTTCAACCTTTTCAATGAGGCCCATGCAGTGTTGAGCCTTAAGCTTGGTGGAAACCAATGGAACTCCATGGTATTTGATAGGTAAATCACCAATAGAGAACCCAAGAATCTCCATGATAAGAGATCTATCCTCCTTCAGGGACAACACAAAGATATAGATTGCATTTTTCAATATTGGGAAACAATCCAGAGAGTTGGCCAAATTGGTCAAGAGATCTCTTCAAGGTTTGAACAGAGGTCGCATCACCATGACAAAATAACATCAAATCATCAGCAAAGGAGAGTTGAACCATTCTGAGCTTTGAGCATCTCCAATGGAACTTAAACTGGGATTGGATTTTATGTTGTTCTGGGTTATCAGGGATAGAAACTCCATTGCAATTATAAAAAGGTAGGGAGATAATGGATCTCCCTGTCTTAATCCTCTAACATTTCAGAAGTAACCAGCCAGCTCACCATTCATATTACCGAGAGAACTTGGCTGTAGTAATGTAGGCATGGATCCAATTCCTCATTGTTATTGGGAAATTAAAGGCTTTC